ACAAGATCGACTGCAACCTTTTGGATTTTAAAGTTTAACATTTTCCCCATTTTGTGTTTATGTTGAGTGTTGATTAAGTTTTTCCTGGTACAAACCTCCCCCTCCTCACCCCACCCGACCCCACTGTCTGTCTTCTCACTGCCGCCTCTCCCCATCAGCTGCTTGAATGACAATGCTGCATGTTCATTCCTTGTGATGATAAGCCTCATCAGCAAGCACTTAACACTTTTACAACCAAGGGACAAAAAAGACTTTTAAATATTGTTTTTGTTTACAGTGTATTTTTCTTCTTAAGCCACACAGATAATTTTTTGATGTGAAATGGATAAAGAAATCATGTCAGAGAGTTGTATATTTACTTTGTCATTCCACGTGTGCTGGTGTGTACTGATAACGGCATCTTCTGTATCGGTGTTCAGAGATTTGTGTTTACATATGGGCAATGTTATCACTGTACCCATTGCAACCGGATCTGGTGTGTGTTTCTGAGATCGTGGGGTCATCCTCGCAGACATTGTGCAACAAAGATGTTATACAAGTGTGTGTTGTCTCATGTTGTGTGTATATTTGCTGTCAAAAGAGATCTGTATCAGAGTATTGTGTAAACCATTGATTGAGTAAATGTGATTGATGATTAAATCAAATCAAGTATGTGTGAGTTTGTGTATGTGCATCATTTCTTCACAGATTTTATTTTATGATTACGGCGAGGCCGTTATATGAGCGATGTGCATGTGAGAGAAATAGAAAAAGAGACACGTAGGCGTCGTCTCAGTGTGCGTAGTACAGAGAGAGATCCTCTGTGAAGCCTCGTGATGACTCATGATCATATGCAGAGCCACGGGCAATTTCAAGGAAAGTTCCTCTTTAAGCAGAAATCATTTGGAATCCAAATAGCTGAAAGAAAAATACTTGAGTTCAAACATGGAGGACAGCTGGAGATACCAACAGCCAGCAGAGGGCACTAAACAGACACTTCAGATGAGGTCCTTGCATGATATCTTTGCATACTTTTGTTGTGAATTAAAGTTGTAATTAATTAAAAGCAATAATAATTAGCAATAAAATGGACTTAAAGAATCAAAAGTAGAAGTACTCCTTATGCAAAGTGGTATATTAAGTATATTATTGGTTCATTATTACTGCATTAACATGTAAGCAGCCCTTTTATGTTGCAGCTGGTAGAGGTGGAGCCACTTTACTACTTCATATACTGTTTAATAAAAATGCATCATCATTTGCAAACTGATCATATGTTTTATGTATAAAATCCGGCACATGCAATATTACCCACTGAAATGTAGTTACAATAGATGTATAGTATAAAATGGAAATACTCAAGTAAAGTCCATCTACCTCAAAATTGCTCATAATAGTACACAAATAAATATACTTAGTTGCTTTCCACCACTGTGAATATCAAGTATGTGTCTAAACTGTATGTGTTGTAAGTTCCATGACCATTTAAGATTTGGAGACCAAACTGATAGCTCATATTAAAATGTAATTTAACAGAGCAGCGTTTGGATTGAACAAAGGCTCCGCCAAATAACAGAAATCAGATACAGGCAGAAGCACAGCCATCACTCAGGTGTTTCTAATCTACATGATTAGGGGTCAATGTGCTTGATCAATCAGAGCAGAGATAGGGAACACAGATTCTTCTTAAGGGGACAAAGTAGAAAAAATATAGGAATAATGCATAAGAATAATGTACAAAAACATGTTGAATCTTAATCACAAAAAAATTGATCACATGAATTAAAACTGCAGTAGGTAACTTTCATAAAAATAATGTTTTGTCATTACTGCTGAAATTTTCCCTGCCTACTGACAGTAGAACAAAATCAGGCTTGTTCCAGCGCTGATAATAGCATTTGCACAAATCCACCGGTCCTGGACAAAAACAACCAATCAGAGCCGAGACAGACGCTGGAAGTTTGAAGATAGGTGATTGTTGAGTCTCATTCCCAGGTTGTCAAATACAGAGGGTTTTGGGACAATCAATTAATGTAATAATAATATTAATGTCTGCAATATTGTGTTTTCAGTTTACCTGATTAGACCTCTGCTCAGGTTGAAAATGGGCAAAAAAAAAAACCAAAACACAAACACAATAAAACATAAATGCAAAAGATAAATTGAATTGAAATAAGTAAAATATTGTTTTTTATTCAGCAGGTGAATGTTTCTGCCCAAGATGCTTAATATACATAAACATAGTATAAATATTCAAATGATGTGGCAACACTTGACTATGTTACTAATTGTAAGCAATAAAAGACTGTACAAAAAAGCATCTGTGTTACTATATAACAAATATTACATGGACATAGAAAAATTAAAACACTGTAGAAAAACTACAGTTTTATTATTTAGAAAAATAATTTAAAAAAAAAAGCTTTAAATGAGTCCAGCTACAGATTTTACTGCATATTCCACAGTTATCAGTATCCTGTGATGGTTGGGTTCAAAATGCGTTGTTGCCAATGAACATGGATAGTAATCCAGCTTTACTCCAGTGAAACATATTTGAATGAATTAAATCTAAATTATCCACCATCAATTGAAAAAAAAAAAAAATAAATAAATACCTGTCTTTTAATCAATCCATCTCTCAAAATCTCAAAAAATATGCAGGGACATTTGGTGTGTCTGTGTGTGTGTTCGTGTGTGAGAAAGAGAGAGAGAGAGAGAGATTAGAAAAAGAGGGATGAGAGGGGGAGAAACGCAGCGAGACGGCCGGCGGAGAAAAGGGGATGTCAGGGAGGTAGGGCGAGAGGCAGACACGCAGCAAGAAATAGCGAGAGGGGGAGTGTGAGGCGGTAAGCCGGTCGTTTCCCTCATGAGTTTGCATGTCGGGCAGCGCAGACAGCCCTGCCTCTTTCTGTGCTACGTCACAGCACAGCAGAGCGGAGGGAGCAGGACTACCCTGATGCTGACAGCAGGAAAGGAGCACTCCAGCCTGCCAGGAGCCGGCTGCTGCATCTTGTCAGTGGACCTCTTAGATCACTTATTGACATCACGGAGCTCTTTTTGTTTTCCCCCTCACCCTCACTGTGAGCCTGCCAGAAGAGAGGAGCTGGATTGACAAAACACATAAAAGGATTCGGCTGCTTCTAACTCTCAAGACCTTTTGGACTATTCTTCATCTTCTTTCGCTGCTGTCAATCATTCAGCTGTCACGGCGAGCATTACTGTCATTCGCGAGGATACAGCTTTGCCTTTTTTACACTGGAGGTCAAGCGGATTTCAGACTGGATCATATAGATTGAGGACTAGATCCAATAAACCGTAACCTCCATTCAAAAGACTTTGAACTACATCAGATGGATTCTGGAGTAAATCAGAGCTTGATTGGGACTCCTTGAAATCTGAACTCTCCATTGTCAGGTTCATTCTCTTTAACCTGTGTGTGGATGTCAGATCCATCTTACCTTTACTCAAAAAGGCAGGTTGCTTAAAGACAAACTGAGACTTTGACTGCAGATGTGGAGCATATGTACCTGTAGATAAAGATTGTGACCTATGAGTAAGAAATGGTGTTCATGGTTGTGTTCCCCAGTGGTGCTGACGAATGGATACCTCATCACTGCTGACTCACCACTAGGCCAAAGATGCCATGCTCCATTGCCCTCAAGTTAGAATTAAAGCCTTTAATTTTAACAAATGGACAATCTGTTAGTTGTTTCACTTGATTTTCACCTCGGAACACCTGAAAGCATGGCAGCACCTAATTACTTTATTCTTCAACTTCAGAAGGGTTAATATAAGCTAGTTATTTTACTTGTTCATTGTCAAGAATGACTGAAGAAAAGCCTGTCCTTTCTTTGTAGTCCTTCCAGAGCACCATGCATTCAGAATTTCACAAAAGGCCTCAGTAACGGCTTAAAGCATTTGCCCTTGCTCTTTTTAAACCAAGGACAACAACATTGATTGTTTTTACTCTTCAGCATTCACCCTGCTCACTTCTTGTGACAGGTGAAACTCAAAGCAAATCTATTTGGACACATCAGAAGCTGTTTTTTCCCTTTATGTTTGGATTGCAGTCACACTTAGGATGGGATAACTATACATTGAACTAAGTGCTTAAGTGACCCCTCGTTCAACATGGTGGTGACTCGTCTGGAGCTGGAGCTACGCTACCAGGGCAAGAAGTTACGTGGAGTGACATGGAAACTGACTCGATCAGAACATGGATTCCTGCCAGAGAGCTCCTGGCTCATTGCTGCCCAGATTATAGTGCCCTTCCTGGTGTCAGGGCTCGGAATGGTCTCCGCCGGTATTGTAATGGACCTTATACAAGTAGGAAAATCTCTGAAAAACCATTTGTGGAATTAGTTTAGAGAGATTGATGGAGGGATGGATGAATAGGTTTGGATATTGTCTGAAATGTTTTGATACTAGTGACACTACTATAGCCGAGGTTTAGGTTAGGGTTACAAAATGCCTTCCTTTCATTAAGCAAGAGGAAAAGCTAAGTTTTCAAAGGTTAAATGCTATCACAAACCTATCACCAGACAAAAACATAGATTTTCGACAGATTGTTTTCACTGAAATTATTTTATGTCCAGTGCAAACATTTCAAAATTCTCGCTTTCTAAGTGCATGGCTAATGCTGTATGTCAAGGTTAGGGCAAGATTGTGGCTATGACAAGCTAGCTAAGGCTAAAGTTTGGTTGGGGCAGGGCACAAGTCAATTTTCATTAAAAAAATTAAAAGCCTTACTTAATGGGTGGCTATGGCGCAGAGGCAGAGCGGGTCATCCCCTAATCGGAAGGTTGTTGGTTCGATCCCCGGCTCCTTCTGCCACTCGAAGTAGAACCCCAAATTGCTGTGTATGAATAGG